CCACGGCACTAGGCTCAGGACCTACCCCAAGGGGATTCCTCTCCGCTGATGAGGCGGGCTGGCGGGCGCATCCGAAATTGTTAGACAGCTGAGATTTAGAAACTGAGCCCTTAAGCCACCCACGACATTTTCCCTGAAAGGCAGAGTTGTTCTTCCTGATCATTTAAAGGACTGTGACTTCTAGTACTGCTAAAATTAAAGCTGACATTTTGTCTGATTTCTGTGCCTACATAAGCAAATCAACAATTCTGCCCATCTGGAGAGGCAGCGGTTCTCCTCAAATTTAAGAACTCCTGCTAGAGAGAGAATCTTTCCTACTGTAATTGACTCTAGGAACTCACCAAAGGCATAGTCTAGTGGATCTGGAATTTATAATATCTAGTTTTCAAGAAAACAGTGGGTAGGGTAGCAGCAAGAAATTTTGTAAAATACTAGTTATCAGTTGAAGCTGGGTAATTTTTGAATGAGGGCTCATTAACCTATTTTCTTTTGGGTATGAACATTTCTAGAGTAAAAACGGAAAAAAAATTTAAATATCTAATTTACAGTTGGGGTCTCCGTTGTTGAGAGACGCTGGGATGCCCTCATATGATGAATGTCAATGAGGACCAATCAAGTCACACTGATAAAATACAATTTCCAAATTTTGCAGCTGTAAAAGCATCCTGTATTACACACTGAATGTCAGCCTTCCACTTGTGATTTATAACCTGTTCTACTTTCTGTGGGGACTAGTATCAGTCAGCTATTGCTACAAACTGCTGTGTAACATGCCATCCCAAAGCATGGTGGCATAAAAAAATAAAATTTTAATTTTGGATCACAGGTCTGCTGGTCAGCTGGGGCAGATTGGCTTCAAACTGCAGGCTGACTGGGGCAACTCTGATGATTTTGGCAGTTCAAGCATGTTCCAAGTGTTTCTCATTTTCCTGGGATTGTTGAGCTACCCAAGACATGTTCTTCTCATGACATAGGCTCAAGAGAACAAGCCTCTGCTGGCATCATGTTGCTAACATCCTGTTGGACAAAGCAGATCACATGGCAGAGCCCAAAGTCAAGGGCAGGAGAAGAACATTCCACCTAGAAGGAAGAACTACAAGGTCACGTAGCAAAGGGACTGGATATGGAGTGACCAATAATTTCTCACCGTAGGGCTAGTCCATTGGTTTTTCCATTTCCAATAAAAAGAAAGCTTACCCCCCATGGGTATTTGAAGTGACCCAGGGGCCCAAGGGAAGCTCCCCAATCCAATTTTCCTTGGCTTTAGTAGGACCGTTTCTAACCCTGGCTCTCAAATCTGAAATAATTACGTCAGTGACTAGATGGTTATACTACATAAAATCCAAAAGGCTGTCAAATTGGATCCAGACATCTAAGGGATAAATAAGCACATTGATAGGGTAGATGTATATATTAAAACCCAGCAGGTCTGTATCATCAGGAAGCTGTATAAAGTCTGAGCAGACCAGCTTACATCTACCTAGAAGCTCAAAAGCTCACCCTCTATTGTTAGCAGGCATTGTGGGATGTCCGCTCTCCTCTGGTAAAGCTGCTTTTCTTTAAGGCCAGATAGGAAAAAGCCCAAAACTTTAAACCTGAAATTAAAGGGAACATTTAATTTTACTTAATATATACATTTTTAGCTTCTACAACCTGCCCCAGTTAGTGAAAAGATTTTTAATCATTAGGAGGCATATTCCAGAATCCCCTCAGGAAGAAAAAATAGCAATTTTCCTTTTGGGACATGCTGTTACAGACTTCTGTTCCTGATAAATTATCACCTTTGAGTTTAGACAGGACAAACACCTGGTCTAAAAGGTAGAAACAGTTCTGATTCTCTTCTAATGTGGAACATAAGGCTTGTTTGTCCCATTCATTTAGGGAAAAGATGTGGTAGACAGATGATAAAAGTGGTCCCAATTCCCCACCTCTCCCTGAATCCATACCCTTTACAGTGTAAATTAGAAGCAACTTCCTCCTACCAAAATGTAGAGTCCACCTCTTGAATCTGGGCCAAGCTTGTGATTTGTTTCTGCCAATAGAAAGCTCTAGAAGAATGATGTACAGTCTAAGCCTAAAGAGGCTTCACGTGCTTCTGCTCATTCAGAACTCTGCCCAGCAGCCCAGCTGGTGTGACTCAACCCAGGCTAGCGTGGTGGAGGATGAGAGACCACGTGGAGCAGAGATGGCTCATCCCAGCTGGCACCCTAGCTGATCTGACAACTGACCATGGGAGCCCAGCTGAAATCAGCCAAGCCTGCCCAGATCAGCAGAATTGCCCAGTGGACCCATTGAACTTGCGGGCAAAAATAAATGTTTATTGTTCTATGCCACTAAAGTTTCATGGTAATGAATAGTGGATATGGGAGGAGTGAACGAGCTCAGTAAGAAATGACCCTGCTGGACAGAGGGAATAGTTTTCTCTTGCTGGAGAGGATTAGGTGACAGCGGGGACCAGCCTAAAGGGGAGGACGTCAGTAGGAGAAAAATGAATTAGTTAATTTTAACATGCCCCTGGATTGGTTAATCGTTGTCTATTGCTGAAATAACAGTTTATTTATTCTGCAGTATGTTACAAATATTGTAGTGTCAGGATCTTCAGACGAAATAAAACTCTTAAGCAGATGGGAGCTAAACTGCTGGTTGCAGGGACAGACTGAATGTGGGGGAAGGAATGGGGAGGATTGGCTAAAACCTAAGCCCTTGAGTTATTGCATGCAGATCCTCTGCTCCATCTTCAAGAGGTGTATCAGAATAGTTCAAGTGGCTCCTTTCAACTGACTCTTGGTACTTGGGAGACTCTTCATGGGAGCCACAACCTAGCATGGTCAAGGCATATTACGAGTGCCCACTGTTTATGGGTACTGACATTCTAGGTAGGCCTTAGATAACTTGACGGGCTTTGTCTTCTGAAATGATGGAAATTCTAGCAAAAAGATCAGGTATTTTCTTTCCCCCAAAATAATTCCAAATGCTAGTCAACTTCTCTAGCTCTTCTTGACAGTGGAAGATAGATGGGTCTGAAAAGTAAGATTGTGATTCTAGCAAGTCAGGCTTCCACTGAGTTCCTTCAAGGAAGAGGCAGGATGCTATCAGGCAAGCCCACGGATGCCTCTGAGCTCCAGTTCTTCCAGTCCAGCTAGCTGCATGCAAATACAGAACAGAGTCACCTGCTCCTTTCTCCACACACCCCCTTCCAACCCATATTGGCCTTCAACAGAAACTGAAAAAGCCTACTATAATTACCTGCCCTCTGCCCTCTGCTTGGGCTGCCTAGAGTAATTTCTTGTATATTTAAGGTACTTCATACTTTAAAAAGTGCTGTCAATGTCTTAACTTGTTTTATCTTAAGCATAAAAATGATTTGCTAGGAAAGAAAGGTCTTATTATTATTTGATAGACAAGAAAAACTGAGACACAAAAGCTCAGAGGAGACTCCAGGAGTCCGGTGACTAACCCCTGGCCTGATTCCTGATGACCCAACAGACAGGCAGCTTGTATGTGTGACACTGACTCAGCTCATAAACTTCTTAACATTGCTCTACTATTGAAGATTGCTGCCCCAGGCACTAGAATCTTCCTGGATTTTCTGTTTGGGTGCCTTAAAGTGAGTGACAGCAGAAGAGAGGGGAAAAGTTTATTTTCATGCTGCTGAGTCTAATGACATGTAATCAGTTCCACAGGTAGTGTTTTCATTGACCTTTTTCCACGTGGAGCCCTCAGGAAATTCCATGACTATTGATCCCCTCCAATTTTAATGCCATAATGATGTTGTTTCCATTCACAACGGAGATGATTATGTACACTCTGAATTGTGTGAACATATATGTACATATTTATGTACATATCTTTGTTGTCCTAGCAAAGTTCTCAATGCAGTTAAAATGGTTTGTGAATGTCTTTCTTAAACCCTGTCCAGATGTGTCCAACAGCATACTGTAAATCAGACTTTTCTTTTTTTGTTTGTTTGTTGGTATTTTGTTTTAACGTGCCAAGCATTTGGATTATACAAAAGAGATTACTGTAGAAGTTTGTTCTCTTTTCTCTCCCCTCTCTCCCTCTCTTCCAAAGAACTCTTTCTCAATGCAAGAAGTCAAAGCTTCCTGTGTTATTCTTTGGATTTCTCCCTACAACATTCAAACCTTTGTCTGGGCCAGAAGAAGAGTCTAAGAGGCTCCCTCCAGACTGGCAGCCAGCTTTCAAAGTCTCCCCTTTCCAAGTGAAGAAATAAATTAAAGCTGATACTTGGAGAGTGTGTATGCCTGCTGCCTTCAGATTTGTGCTCGCGCGAGCTTATTTATTTTTCCTCCATTGCAAAAAGATTTATGACCCTTAATTATGAATTCTGACACTCTTACGCTACACGGATGCACTTAGACTGATTTTCACTTTCTGATGGCTTTGAAAAGCCTTCCTTTTCAACTCTAAAGCCTCAAGGGCAACAAGGGTCCCTTTTGAAAGAGGGTCTGGCCAGTGCCACCCCCACAAAGGCTGTGTGTGCATGACTCAGGCTTAATCAGGGCCCGGGGACTGATGGATGGGTAGTAACCTCAGCTGCTGCTCTATTTACTCTTTCTTGGCTCTTTTCTCTTCCAGAGAATTGAAGTGAACATATAAAAAATGTGTTTCTAGATAAAAGCTGGCAAGCAGAGTGTCAGCCTGGAAATAACCTTTTCAAGACATTTCAGGAAAACAAGAGTACTTCATTATTTGAAGTTTAAAAAAGATAACAGTTGATGGTTGATTTGGCTGGGATCATGGGGTTGGCTCAGCAAGTGAGAAATTGCATTGATTTTGCAAAACAGACAATTGACATAAACTTCATGGACAATTCATCCCAACCAACATAGAATGATGTAAGACCCTTAGGTTTACTTCTACTAATGCACAGGTCACAGAGGTTCTGCAGAAGTAAGTAAGAAGAGAGGTGGGTCTGATGGGTGGAGCTGAGTTGCACAGCCCCAAGCGTCCCACAGGAAGCATAGGGGTTCACCCTGGAGAGAGGAGTGTAATGAAGGACTTGAGCACCATCTAAGAACCCAGGCACACTCTGGAACCTGGGCAGGATTCTTAGCCCCTCCCTTCCTTCCTCCTTCCCTCAGGCCCAGCCTCCATTTACCACCTTTTTGGTGTCTAGACCTGATTCTTGGGATGTGGGATGGTGGTGGACCTAGAACCTCACCTCTCACACTGGAGAGCGGGCACCCCAGGGATCGGCATCAATGTGTCAGGTCACCCAAGACCTCCTGGAGGTTTGGATTTTTTCTTTTTTTACCAGAATATTGTGAGGGAAAAGCAAAATAACTTAATTGATAAAATATTTTATAACATTATAATCTCTAAATTTTAAAACAAATCTAGGTATATTATGGAAAAGGAAGTTAAATCAACATGACATTTAACATAGTCTAGGCCTCCAATGAACAGGCTGCTTTCCTAGGGGTCTCTCACCCACCCCTAGGTTGTAGAGTGCTCTGGGGGTAACTTTGAGAAGCAATGGTCTATAACACTTGCTATGGCTGTCCTCCAACCCTGCTAGGTGAACAGGGTTGAAATAGATTTCCTCACTGAAGAAAATAACTAAATTTTGTTGATAAATTCAGTCTTGGAGGAAGGAAGCAAGTCAAACAACCACAACTAGAGAAGCTACCTCTTCCTCCTCCTTCTTCCCACATTTTCTGTCCTAAGTTTTACTAAGTAGCAGTGGGGATATCCTCAAATGCCTGGGCCAGAGTCACTAAGTCTGGGTTCCGGGATCCTGAAAGATCACTCTAACTACCAGGATTTCTGCCTAACTTGCTCCAAAGACCATCCCAAATGAAGGAGTCGCCGTGGGGAGCTGTTTTGAAGACCCCTACCAACCATACCATGGACCTTGCTGTTGGGATTTTTCAATCTATGAACTAGGATGTCCCTGTTTTCGTTATACAGTCCCATAAAGCCCTGTGTGCAAGAGTCAGGGATTTTTATAAAGTGCCAGTTAAATCATGCCGACATCTTGCTCACTTAAACCTCTCTGGTGATTTCCCATGAGCTTGAAACAAAATGGCAGCTCCTGGCCATGGCCTACATAACCCACATGATCTGCCATGCCTTTCCTCCCACCCTATCACCTGCCTCTCTCCCCAGACCCCATTAAGCTTCAGCCACGGTGGTTTTCTTTCTCTTCTATGGCTGTGTCCAGCTCACTGTTATCTGAGGGAGTATGCACTGCATGGAATGTTCTATCATCAAGATCTTTGCATAGCTGGTCACTTCCTGTCACTCCTGTCTCTGCTCAAACATCACATCTCTGAAGCTTCCCTGACAACTCCATCTGATGGCCTCCTACCTGCCCCCACACACTCATCCCAGGGCTGCATTCAGAAACATATAGAAACACTCTCTTTGACTTTCTTCATGGAACTTAATATCTGAAGTTATCTTGCTCATTTAATTGTTTACTTCTATACTGGCCTCCCTTCTCCCACCCCCACCCCATCCTTGAATTTAAACACCAAGAGAACAAAGAAGGCTTTTTCTGCCTTGTGCCATACAGTCTCTACAGCGCCTGGTACAGATCCTGTCACACAGGAGGAGCACAGGGAACATTTGTTGAATGAATGAATGAATGAGTAAATGAATGAGTGTGGCAGGCCCTGTGCTGGTGGCTGAGGATCAACAGCGAGCAAGAACTGATGCTCGCCTACCTCCACGTGGCTTGCAGTTCAGCGGAAGAGATAGAAAATTGAACTCACCTCCCCGCAGTTCCATGGTAAGTGCTGTGAAGGAACATCTCAGGGCACTGGGCAGATTTTAACAGGAGACTGGTCTACTGGAGGGATCCAAGGGGCCTTTCCTGGGGAAGTGAAATTTGCGGATATAATCTGAGGCGTGAGGAAAGTTTTCCACCTGGTAACCTGGTGTTAATTTGGTAATTAGCCTGACTCTAAGAAGAGAGCATGAGAGAAGGGAAATCACATGGGAGTGAGCAGCCCCCCAGAATAGCTGAGTCTCTCCACGCCGAGTGGACTTACTTCAGCTTCACAAGTCCTTTCATACTCGAATTCACTGACTTTTCCCCTTTTCTTTCCTTCTTACTTTCCTTTTTGTCTTTTTGAAAAACATTAAGAAACTCTCCTCACCAAATAAACTGAGTTTTTTCCACCTACATTTGCTTCCCCCACCCCCACCCCCAATTGTTTATGTTTCCAACACTGGTACTTTACGAATATCTTTTCCTACACATTTTGTTCTTTTCTATTTGTCAGACGGTGATGATCTCAAGCGTGTGTGACTGGAGTGGAGCTGCTCTTCCTTTTTCCAAAGCGCACTCAGCACTCAATGTCCGGCTGCCCCCTTATCACACACAAGCAGCCTCGGAGGGACCTGCAGCTCCTGTCATCAGGGGGCGAGGCCAGCGCTCCTGAGCCACTTGCTTTTCAACAGGATAAGCAAACAAATCAGAACCCAGCCAGGCTCTGCCAGGTACATTTTTGTGTCTCCGTAAACCCTGTGTGCACGTCAAAGGAAATTGCTTCTGTGAGTTTCCTCTTTATTTAAATCAGCTCCTGAAAACGGTGGTTGTAAGAGCCATTTGAAGCTCAAGTTTCTCTGCACCTTTTTACCATTCTCAGAGCAGAGCCACATTGAAAGCAAAGTGGAGCCTAGAGATTTAAGAGCTGCCTGAGGCTTCAGAGGCTCCCACCTGGGAAGGTAGGTTGTTCCTTACCTCATTCTCAGGGCTCTGCCACTGTGGGGGCTGGTCTTCTTTTCAGCTGTCTCTACCTCAAAGTGGATGACCGAATCCTGCCTCCACGCCTTGATCACCTGTACATTTCAAGGAAAGGACTTCCTGTCCCAAATCAGAGACACTTCAGTTACGGTCAGTTAGAAAACACTAGTTCTCCAGACTGATAGTTCAAGTTCCAGCTGCTAGATGGATGCATGAGTTCCTCATTAGCCAACCGCCCACCCTCCAGTTGGATGGAGGACAGAGCACTGCAGCCCTGCATCCGAGGAATGTGCTGTGTGCCATGTACCAGATGGTGCCAAGCTCTCAGGACACAGAGTGCCCCACGTACCTCTTAAATAAAAGAGCAAATGTCCCTCTTAGGGGATGGATGGATGGAAGCAATGGAAAGATGAAGATGATTGTTTAAAGCCTGTGAACTTTGAACAATTAATTGAATATAAAGTTGATGTTAATCTGAAAAGCACACATTTTCAGGTAAAAGGGTCAGATCTTTGTAGGTGGTGATTATCACAAACAAAAAGATCCGGCTTTGTGGGTAAGGGTGTTTGGAAATCAAGAAGAGAAAATATTCTGGCATGAAAAATTTTCCTGAGATATTCTTGTGAGTAAAGATTTGTCCTTTACGTAAAAGTTGAGATGGAAAGAAAAACACATCCAGGGAAACAAAAAGCTTACAACAGGGTTTTGGAAACAAGGTCTTTTTAGACAGATGGGTGTAGTTTTGGAATTGTTTTTTGGAAATTGTTTTTTAACTCTTTGACCTGAAATTGTGCTTAAAATTTTGGGAAATAAAGAATCCTTCTGGTGCTGGTTATATAATGTCCTATTCAGAATTCAGCAATTATTTTATCAAGAGATATATTTGATTTAATAGGATAAGAATATTTTCTTTCTCTTACAGTTTCTTCAGACTGAGAGAATCTGAATCCAACCTGAAAGAAAAGAAAACTGTATTGTTCATCCGATAGGGGACAGCTGGCTTGTTTAGCAATAGTGTCTCGAATCAAGACCGGGGGGCACAGCGGAATAGGAAGAAAGGGATGTTATGAGTTCTCTAAACTCTTGGTTTGAGATGAAGTTATATTCATAGCACTAGGGGTAAGTCTTCCATTCTTTGCTTCAAAAATTTATAAAACACTGGAAATCAGGTACTTCTGAGCTGTTCAGTTCCCACTTTTAATGGATTTTTCAAGTTTTGCTGAAGTTCTCCCACATGTTAGATTTCTCAATATATGTTTCTTGTTAGATGGACTCAGTATGTTTTAGCTTTTGCTAGTTAAAGTTATTTACATGGCCTAAGGTCAAATGGTGTTGTTTCACATTTTGCTTGACGGAAACATCACTGGACTCCATTGTTTTTATAGCAAAAGATCGGTTTCAATGAGGTGGTAGAGAACTTCACTTCTAATGTGTCTGTTTAGCAACACATTCACCAGGCATTCAAATCTTCTGGAGAAAGATATAAAACCATGAGGGCAGTATCTGGAGTTTCAATGTAGTGGTTCCTGATCTGAGCTGGGCTGGTTCACACATTGTCATGCTCGTACACCAGCAAGGCAGAAGGTCAAGTGTAACATTCTTTCCAACGGAGGCAACGGAGCAGTGGCTCTGCTTGCTCAAGGATTATGTAAGAAATTCAGATGTCTGGAGGTCATCGATGGTAACCAGAGGAGAAAATTGAACTGAACAGGCTGCTTCCACTTAGCGAGGCTGCTCTAGGAGGTTCCTAAGTCTCAGAGTCCAGCTCTGGTAGAGCTCAGTTTCACCGAGTCAGAGAAAAGCTGTAAGATAAGCTTAAATCAGCCGATCCAACATTTGAAAGGGCAAAAGAGGGGGAGGGGGGAAGAAACAAAGAGAGAAGGAAGAAAGAGGACTCATTCCAAAATCCGCCTAATTTATTCCTTTCCTCTTTGTCTTTGCCTCCTTGGCTGTCATCTCTTTCACAAAGTCTGCAAGTAGAGCAGATAGGAGTGAATAGCCAAAATGGTAGCCATCTCTGCTGTTCTGGTGGTAAAGCCTCTGGACTTAGGCAGCCATTTTCCCTTGGATCATGGATGTCCAAAGTCACATTCTATTAGCTCAGCAGCACATGCAAAATAATAACCATAACCCCAGAAATGTGCTGTGGAATTTTCTCCAGCTCTCTTAACGAGCTTTGCAAAGCTCCTCTGTCAAGGAGAGCGGGGAATGTGTAATTTCAAACACATTTTTAATAGTTGCTCTTGGCTCTTTTCGAAGAAGAGGGAGGCATGCTGACGCGGCTCTAGGAGAGGCAGCAACTTTACAAGAGTCATGTTAAACAAATCACCCAGGTGCTGGTAGCACTTGGAAAGCATGGGGAGCTGCCTGGGAAGCTGGGGCTCGTCAGGCAAAGAGCGGCACTGGAGTTTAACGTGTGGGTGTAGAAGTCACACCAGTATGGCCGGGCCTATGGCAGGTACATGGAGACAGGCACCTTCACAGCTTTCTGTCCAAATCACTCTCAGTTGCACCCACTTTTCAAAGTCCTTTTTCCTCTTCTAACCAAGCAGGATTTTGTAAAACAGAGGAAAGAGGAGGCAAGAGTGGAAATGGTAGCAGGTGCCAGACCACCAAGCAGCATCAGTTAGGATGCCCGGAGCTCTTGGCTCTTGGCTGTAGCAGCAGATAGATGCCTGGTGTAGCTCAACTAACATCTTAGGCCCATTGAAGAGGACTCAGAACTTCTGGAGACCACGGAGAAGGAGAGGTGTGACTCCTGGGCTACTCTTGCTCAAGAACCCAGAGGAAGACTGATCCAGAAAGACATGAAGAACTGACAAGAAAACCTTCTACTCAGGAGAAAAACAGTCATATGAAATAAGATCTCTATGCCTTCCTGCCTCTCTCCATTTTCCCACCAGCATTTATAAGTACCTGACCATAGTTTCTTAACTGGAAATCAGAACTCATGGTAAGACAGACAGCAGGTCAGAATATTTGAAATCAAGACAATTTTGAAAAATCTGTGACTATGGTTACTGTAATATAGGTTTAATTCACGGAATCTACCAAAATAATAATGCTTTTCAAAAAAGGAAATGATGCCACCTTTATTGAAAAAAACCTTTTCAATCTTTTATCTAGTAACTGGTAATGGAAAAGTTATTTCCTCATGATCAGTTTCAATGGATTATGTGTTTTTAAGAAAGAGAAGAATCAGAGATTTATTGAACTAGGGGCTATAAAAGATGCTAGGGATCATCCATTATAAGCCCCTCATTTTACAGATGATGAAATGGGGGCTTAAAGAGATGACAAAATCAGTAGCTGAGCAACCCAGGGCCCCTACTTCTAAGCTTAATATTATTTCTACTACATTCTGCAACCTGTTGTGTATCTGCTTCATCTGGGCCAGTTCTGCCTTGAGGGCTTCTGCTCCCGGCCCTGTGTCCTCCCTCATCTCAGTGTCTGCGGGGAAAGACAGTGAGCTTCTCCCTCAACTCCCAGACCATTAGCAACATTGCAGCCCAAGTGGGATCCTCGGGAAGGAAAATGCTGAGTGGGGTCTGGCTTTGGTACAAGTAGGCTAATCATGGTGAGTGGCTGGTAGGAACTGTGAGAAAGACATGAGCTCCCCCCAGTACCATTTTCTCCCCCAAGTCTTGAATTTATCCTCCCAGTCTGCTTTAGGTCATCTATTTCTTTCCTGACAAAAACATCTGGTTGTTTCAAAACTGAAATTTTCTTGCATTTCAGCTCATGTAGGAATGTCGAAAAGCTGTTCTGAAAAACATAGCTTCTCCCTGTGCCAAACCAGTTGGGCTGGAATGAACAACTGTTGTTATAAATCTCCACTCCGCCTCTTCAACAGCCCCAGAAGGTACAAAATAGAATGTTTCATGAGACCAGCCAGACGGATTGAATAAGGCTTGCCTGGAGGAGCCCTGTGCGTGAAGAGTATGGAAACACCCCTTTCTCTCCTCTCTCCTCCGACTCTTTCAGACAATTTCTGGGACTGCTGGCAAAGGAACAGCATGTGAGGGTTCTCTGTGTTCACAACAAATTCCTTTGTGTCTTTGAGTGGAAAAATATTTTATGACATGGCAGACCAACTGCTTGTTCTTTGAGTGATTCACAAAGAAAACTCATCGACCTAATGATGTGTGTCCTGGCCAAGACCGAGGCAGGGAAAAGGACGAGAAAAAATGACCCAGAATCAAAAGTCTGAGAGGAACTTTGGATGTCGCTGAAGATGCTAGGCCACCTTCCCACAGTGGACTGCGGGACTTTCTCGTTTGCTGCCTATTATTTCAAAACTAGTACATAGGTATCCTTGCCCACAGGGTGACACACCTACCCCCAAATTTCACACACAAATATCCTATCCACTTGGGCTTTGTGTTAGTGTTTTGCTCAGTATTTTCTAGGTACGTGCATTCTCGTCAAGATGGTCTGTTGTATCTCCCGGGGCTTTATATAATTAAAAGCTATAAAGGAAGTCTCCTCAGCGTTCCTAGAATCAGAGGACTTAGACCAGAGGAGACTCGAGGAATCATCTAGTTCAATTCACCATGTACTGCAGGATTACTTCCTGGAAAATCTGCCAGCAGATGAGTTTGATCCAGTCTTGCCACCATGGGAAGCTCACTACTTCAGAAGCCAGCCCATGCCGTTGTTAGACAGCTGTAATTGCTAGAAAGGTATTCACTCTCTTGTTGAACAAGTCTGTCTCCCTGTCACTCCTGACTTCCTTCTGCAACAACTCCTTCTTATTGGTAGACAGTCCTTTAAATATTTGAAGAGAGCACTCACATTTCCCCAAACTTTCTTTTCCAAGCAACACATCCTATTTTTTTCAGTGAATTCTCATGTTTTTCAGAACTCTTCTCATTCAGTCTTCCTCCTCTGCTTACGTTCTAGTTATTCTTAATCTTCTGATCTTTTTCTTACGAACTTATGCCAACCTGAGTCTCCTTCATCCTGTTCTTCTGTGATTTATTTTTGGAGACTAAATGTAAGACTTTACTTTTGGTCCGTGTTAAAGTTCATTCCATCAATTTTAGCCAATATTTGAGATTGCTGATGGCATTTTGAACCTTGCATCTGTCATCGATGGCACTGGCTATCTCTCTTGATTTTTTTTTTTCACTTGCAACGTTGATATTTTCTTTCTTCATAAAAGTCACTGATAAAAAGTTAAAGTTTAGAAACAACTCTCTAGATGTTATCAGGCTATTAATCACTCTTCAGACTCAATTGTTCACCCATTTCAAATCCAGCTAGGCTTGTTATCATCCAGCCTGTATTTCACCATACTTTCTTTAAAAATATTGTTGGATGTCTTGTCACATGTTTTGCCGAAATCCTTGCATAGCGTGTCCACTATGGTTTCTTCATCTATCAACCTGGAAATGCTGTCAAAAATAGAACCAAATCTAGCATAGGAACCTATATTGGCAGTGTGGGGGGCAGCTTTCTTTTCTAAATACCCTTCTCATCAACCTATTTGCTTCACTGTCTTTGCTGCTGGCATCCTCCTGGGATTCCCTTTTGGGCTCCTTTTCTTCTTCGTTCAGAGTACCACGATGCCTTCTGTTGACCACCAAAGACTTTATCTGTCCCATCTCCTAAGTTCCTGCTAGGTTGCCCTCCAAGATAACACCACATTTTAATGGCAGCCTCAACCCAAAGGAGTGAGGAAGGGGAATTTGTGGCAACACCAGTGACTGGTGTAATCATGTCTCCTGGGAGATTGCTTATTCTGTAAAGCTGGCCCTACTCCTCACTTTGTCCTTGTTAGTGCCTCTGGCAGCTCTCCCTGTGCAGGTAACCAACTCCCCAAATCCTGCACCCCAACATGGCAGACAGGCGCTCTTGTTACACAATGGGAATCCTCAATGTGCCCAGGCAAGTCTTCTTTTAGCCTTGTGGGAAATGGCTTCAAGGGATTTTTCCTTCAAATCTTTATTCTAAACCATGCTAAGCAATGTTAGGCCAGTTGTGGTTTTAACAAACCTCCCCCTCTTCTTTTTTCTCCTTTCCCAGCATTCATCATTAGCAATGAGCAGGAAGGCTTATTGATTCATTCATTCAGCAGAGTCACGTACCTACTATGTGGCAGTCTGAGGTAGGCACTGGGGATTCAGAGGTGATCAACACAGCAGAACTCTGCCCTCAAGGAGTTGCCTGGACAACTAGGAAGACAGGTTTTAAACATATGAAAACAACAGTGTGAGAAGGGGGTTATGGGAAGGTCAAGGGCATACCTCAATCTAGAGGTTGGGCAATGATGTGGGAGGTAACATAGGAAGGGTGATCATCTGAGTGCACCCAAAAGCCTAAGAGAAGCCAGCTGTCTCTGGGGGCCATGCCCAGAATATGTCCCCCAACACCCTTCTGAACTCCCCCAAAGTGGAGGGTCCCATCTGTATCTTGGTAAAAGGATCTAATAGGATCTCATTTCATAGCCCATCTCGATTTAAACTCTGGGGCTGTCACAGCCTTTGCTTGTCTACAGACTATTATTCACCTACCTGCAGGGTGATTTGTTTTTGTAGGAGAAATGTCTGTAGAGCTTCCATCTCGTTGCTGGAGTCACCAGCTCTCCCCACTGAGTCTTCCTTTCCTCTTCAAAACACCAGCTACGCCCAGAAGTGCCCCCAAAGTCACATGTTAGAATTCCTGACTGTTCTGTCCCAAGAGCTTTGGATTTCAGAAACTCGGGGTGGGAAGAGTGTTTTTGATGGCTAGAACCATGGCTCCATTTATATGGCCCAGCAGGATTGGTAGAGTGCTCTGTCTTCTAACACCCTTTTCTGGGGGCATTGAGATCTCCTGGCCTCACCTGCCTCCTGGCACACAGACCCCTGGGACCTGCAGAGCCTGTGCAGCCAGAAGAAGGGAAGGTGGAAAGCAATTTTATGAGAAGCGTATTCCCAGCCTCGCCCATCTTGGGAAGGGGCTGCCCCGCTCCTGACTGCCAACCTCTGCGCTGTCTGTGCCTCCCTCAGTCCTCTCCTCCTAAGACGCGTCACAAGGCGCATCTTGCTGACAGTGGCTGCACAGCCACTTTGCCATCTTTCTAGGCATCCCTTAAGTCCTCTATCCCGGGCCATCCCAGGGCTCTTTCCCTCCAGAAGCACCTGGAATGTGAGTGAGCGGCTTTGCACAGAAACTCGGAGTTGGAGCGCCACGGAATGCATCTGCAAATGTGGAAAATTTCGCTTTTGCATTCTCCCTAAACATTTGACAAGAATTACAGTTTCCCCCAGGGGAACCAATTTCACATATTGAAACCAAACATTTTTCCTTCTTATATTCTGTCTCCCTCTCTTAGTCTCGGATTCAAAAGGAATGATTTCCTCTGAAATAAAGCCTCTTGTGCTCCAAGTGCGGTGGTAAACACTGCCTGCCTAGCCTACCCCCGGTTTAAATTAGGGTGCTGCTGCCTGTGTTTGCATTTACTGTTCTGAATGTGTTTCAGGCCT